AGCAGCTCTTATAGAATTTAATGATATTAAACAGGTTCAATCCATTATACTCAGTTCTCAATATGCAATTAAAGCATCAGTCTGTATATAATTGTCAGTGACTGTCAGCCTAGAATACTTTTTCCCAGTCTGTATGAAGACATTAAATGTTGCAGAATTTTTCTTACTAATTTTTTGGGCCAGGATGGTTGCATGGAAGATTCATGATTTCTTTCTGCAATTTTTTTTTTCCTTCTGAAGTTAAATTTCAGAGACTTTGTGTATACTTTCATATAAGGATACATACCTTTTATATACATACATTTACATACATACATACATATATATACATACACGTATTTGTCACTTATTGCTCTGTTCCAGCTTTGCTTGCAAAAACAAGCGCCTTTAATTCATTTTATTTTTAACTGAGATTTTCCTTGGGAAAAACATTTCAAGAGACAATATTTGGCATGGAAAATTGAATCTAAAATAACTGAAGTGTCAAAAAGTTGTAGCTGAAAATAGAGTCTTACAATGAAAAATGCCTGAACAACTTAAATATAGATTTTAGCAATCAGTCTTGCTGTTATATAAGAAAAGCAAATTTATTTTACTTCATGGGTGAAACATGAACACTCTCCATTTTGCATAAGAATCTTCATTTTGCATGATATACGAAACATCAGCCAGACTTTGTTGCAAACAATATTGACCCTCACATCTCTCTGGAACAAAACACGTGGATGTAATAGATACCACAGCACTTTGGGCAACCTAGTCTAGTGGGAGGTGCCCCTGCCCAGTGTGGGGGAAAAGGAGGGGGGTGGAAATTGGATGGTCTTTATGGTCACTTCCAACCCAAACCATTCTATGATTCTGTTTCAGAGAGTGAGGCTGCCCTCCTGGCCCAGGTCCATCAATTAAATCCAGCAACTACAGTTAATTAATCTTAGTTAAGAAGATAGAAAAGTCATTTTCACAACACTCCAGGCCATATTTTCCTAAATAATACATAAGGAAAATGAAAACCAGTTGAGGATACTTGGGAAAATTTAGAAACTTTAAGGTACCAGATACAATATTATCATGACAAATTGACTTATGCTTTCACCTAGTCTAGAATATACATGTGTGAACTGTATGAACATGAATTCACAGGGATTAAAAATTTGGGTATTTATAAACAAAATAACCCAAACTGTCCTCACTGGTAATAGAAGAGTATTTTGCCAAATCTGGAAATTAAAGTGAATTTTACAACTATGTCAACTTATTTAAAAATAAGTACAGGGTTTATTACTCAACAACAGTATAAAAAGGATATTTTGTGATTTATTATTTATGCATTAGTGTAATATAATGTGTATATGATTATGACATATATATATTATACAATTACAACGTAATATAATACACCTTGCTCTAATAACTATTCTACTACTTTAGGTGCCTAAGATGAATACTGTCAATAATCTATTTTAAGTTAAAACTGACAACCATTCCAGGACATGTGGCTAACATCCAGCTGAATTCCTATAGAGCTTGAAAAATAATTACAAGCAAGAAGAAACATTTTTTGCCTCAGGAAACAGGTCTTAACAAAAAGCTGTGCAACTACTAGTCAACTGATTTTCAAGTAATAAACAAAATAAAAGCCATAATAGACCTAAAGAGCTTGGACAAACCTCTACTCATGTAATCATGATGTAATCATTACTTATTTCAACAGAAAACCATAATATTTTCAAGAAAAGTAAAACAGAAATTGACATTAATAGCAAACAAAATAATACAAACTTGCAAGATCATCTTTATATATTTTAGAATCCGGTCATCAACTGCACACATGACTTTTTGCCATAGATCAATTTTAACGCATGTAAATATTTCATTAAAAAATAAAAAAAAATTTAATACATTGCCTATGTTTAAGTTTTATAGGCCACACTGTATGTTATTTCCACTTCTGGCAGCATGCACAGGATATTTCTACAGGGGAAAAACAAACAGCAACCTAAATGATTTTTTTTTTTTTTTAATAGAAGAATTGTCTTCATGTTAATCTTTGCCCAAAAGCTTTAAGTTTGATTGTTCAAACTGCAAACTCTCCAGGTAAGAGCTGCATCTTATCATGTTTTTAATAAATTGGCTTGCAAATACCTGATACTGATCAGAATATATTTTTCAGGTATGGTTTGAAGAAGTAACTTCTGGGAAATATCTTTACAAATAGAATACTGAATATGCTTTATAAGTAATTTCTCTAAAACCATCAACTTGTGTCAAACCTTTAAAACTTTATTAATATATCTTATTTCATTTCAATCTGGTTTTAGTTTTACATTCTTATACACTCCAGAAAGGACCCTGTGATATTACTGTGGGGCAAAATAGACCAGTGTATTTTGTTGCATGCATACCAGCTAAAGGATCCAAATTGGTGAGATTATTGCTACGAAGAGCTCACCAGTTTGTATCACGTATCATCTTTGTTAAACCAAGAAACTAGATTTGTATTTATTTAATGCCCATGCCTGTTAGTGCCATGCTAATGTTTAAAACAAGTATTTAGTATACTGTCTTTCAGATCAAAAGGTCTTTCACCAAATACCACTTTCAGAGACACTTTTGGTTTAATCATATATTCTGAGCTTTAAACACAATATAATATGTAAGGAAAGCCAAGGAGAAGGAAACTAAAAGGATGTGATACCACCAATTTTTGAGGTATCTCATGAGCATGGAGAATAATTCTAGCTGCAAAAGTCTGGAACAACTGCTAAAGAAAATGCATGTGCTAAGGAAGTTTCAGTAGAGAAGACAGAACAGAGACAGAATTTAAAATAAAAGCAACTAAAATAAAAACAACTTGTAATAACAAATTTTTATACCTTTAGAAGAACTCCCCAATTAAAATCCAGTGATAAGGAAAGATCAAAGATGCTGTCCCATACTAAGTTCTTAGGACAATATTGAAACATTTATATTTATTTGACAAGTTAAACCTATTTTTAACTGTGCATATTTTAAAATATTTCATAAAATCATGCAAACTTAGAGAATAAGTTCAGAAAGCTTTTCATCTTTTTCCCCTCCCCAGACTTTAACCAACTTGAAATTACTTGAGCCTTAAAGAATATCAGGTTGCTTCAAAAATAACCTTCATCATCCATTTTTTGAAAATCTTGGTTGTACTGGGATGAAATGGGTTGTAATGATCATGTTAACACTTTAAAGGAGGAAGTGTTACAGGAAAGAACTATGGTTGTATTTGTTTTCTTCAGTTCAACTTTCTGATGACACCATTTCATAGGTGAATGTTTTTGACATATAACTCCAATTTACAAAAAGTTATAAACTCAAGGGCTACCCATCTGAGAGGACAGATTACAGGTTTTCTACAGACCTGTCAAACAAATACAGGAAGTAACAACTTGCATACGTACAACATTTAGCCTGTTGTATGCGTCCTGTTTTAAAGTACAAATCAACAGTAAAAAAAAAAAGAAGTACTGAAAATGCTTAACTGCTTGTATGTCCTTGTGGTTTTCTCAGCCTGTGTCCTTACATAGAAGACCATTCACATGGAGCTTTCATAAAATTCAGCAAGTCTGTCAACTGGCAAATCTGGCACCTCTTTAACAATGTTTTTTAACAACATTTAAAAATATTTATAAAACTCAAAAGATTAAACAGGCTGCATAAATCCCCCAACTGGTTCTAACTATAGAAACAAGACAAACCTCACGGGAAAAAAAAAAAAAAAAGCAAAAAGATTAAAACACAGTATTTCTGTGTAATGAGCTCAAAAATACAGCAGGATAAAAAGAACAGCTTTAAGAAAAATGTCAGCTTAGATCTTACACATTTTATTTCGAGATCTCACTAGCACCATTTAGAATAATTTAAAATCATTTGTAAGATTGAATGATGTTAAATGGAGGACAGAAGAACTTCAATATTAAGTCTTAACAGCTCTTGCATAATTTTCTAAAGGCCCAACTCAACAAAATATATCTGGTCTTCTGGAGATACTAAGCCCTCTATTATGACTACATAGGACTAGATTGAAAATCAAGCAGAACATCCAAACTAGTGATTAGTGGTTCAACCTTCCATGGAAAGGGAAGGTACTTCCATGCAGTACCTGCACAGCTGGGAAACACAATCACTTGGATAAGAACTCTTGCAGCACATTTTGTAGGCTTTCTTTTCCTCTTCTCAGACTACAACTCACTCAGTGCTAAGACTCACTATCCATGTTGACTCTCTACTCTGACAATATTCATGTGGAGTAAAATAACTACTGTTTTTATGACCAAGCACAAAAAGTCAATGTATTTTTCCACCTATTACCTCCAAGTATGAGCAAATAAACATGGACAGTCAAAACCAGCAATGATAGCAATCCTATATGGTTATTAGTAGTAACAAAGAGGGGTTAGGCATGAAGGAATAGTGCATAAAAATAAAAAATATATTGAAACAGTAGAAATAATTCACATCTATTGCTGAGGTTCTGTTGAGTTATAGCTACCTGATCGCTTCATGTTGGAAAGTTTCCTGCCTTTTTGGTGCTCATCATGATAATGGAATATACATCCAGATTTTATATTTAAAAAGTTCTATAAGATAAAAGCTAGAAGAAGAATACATTTCATACCAAAATAGTCAAAGCACAATCAAAAGCTGACAAATGTTCTCAGATGCCAGGAAGACTGGGTGGAGAAAGGGATGCAAAGATCTTTGAAAAGAGCAACACAAGAGGCACATGGAGATTTCTTTCATTCAGTCCTTAAATATGACAGTAAAGCAAAGAGCAGAAAGCTGCCCCACCCTAGAACCTTAAAAAAAAAAACCTCTTATGATTGTCCTCACTTTCCTTTTTCTACTTTTGAGCTCTCTGTAGAGCATCTAATTTGGGGATATTTCAAAAGACTATTTTTCTCCTTTGGTTCCACTTTCAAACATTATATGCACATAACCTAAAGAAGGATCAAAGTGTCAAAAAGGATCACCTTATTAAATGGTATTGTAGAAGTCCAAGATTTCATGCTTCTTTACACAGGCAAGTCATCAAGAGCATCAAGAGTTCTTCTCAAATAAAGCTTAAAAATATTTCCCCCTCTCACCTTTTTTTTTTCCTGCCAGAGAAAATGAGGAATATTAGTCTTTTAACAAAACAAAACCAAATCTACAAACCAGTAGTTCTTCATACCCCAGACGGAACTGGTCCTTCACCACATTTTTATATCCTGACAAATGTCAACATGAAGTTGATGTTCATTACATTGACATTTATTTTGAAAAGTTACCATCTCTCAGTACTGTTTAATACTTGTCTATAGCCTCCACAAAAGGAAAAGGTCTTCTCTGGCCTCTAGTTGCTAAGCTTTCTCAGAGGGAGATTTTCTCTAATTTATCATCTTCTGGTAATAAATTATTTTATTATTTGAAAATTATTAACAGAACATTTTAAATTAAGTTAACAAGAATTGATAGAGGGATCTATAGATATGAAAAAGTGAAAATAGAGATCTGTAGTATTAATTCAAATAATTTATCAACTTTGGAATGGTCCTTAAGAAACTAAAAGGAAAAAAATAAAAATTTCTGGAAAATCCTGTCTACGCAAGAAAATCTCTACAGAGATAACTTACTTTTACCCATGCTTTAGCTTTATCATAACAACTTACAAAATATTAGGGGAACATTTACTTACTGCTTATTACTTACTACGTGATGATGTCCTATGCCCATGTGGCTGTGCATGCTTCACCATATAGTTAAAAAACACAAGCAACCATTCACGTTCATGGCACTTGTTTTTAATGAGATAGGTTTCAGCCAAGTCAAAACTAATTTCCATTGTTAAAAAGACACTTCACAAGATGGTTTGATTTCATACCACATTACAACTCTCTATCCCTAGACACTCTGTCTGCAGTCATTCAAATTAATTTAATGATGTTATGGGTTGACAGCTTCTTTAGAAATATAAAAAGCACTCCTTCCTCCCTTCCACTCTCTATTCAATCCAAAGTGGCTGAGCTGTTTCTGCTGAAACTTACCAAAACAAGCTAATTCACCTGCAAGCACAGGCCAAGCTACCTGGAAGTTTCAGAATGTTATGTGTAAGTGGTTTACCAACACTCCATAAAAGTATTAATTATGTACTTGTAGAAGTATCTTTAAATGAGTACTTAATGGTTTGTTGATAACATTTACACAAGACATTTCTACAAGTAAAATTACCATTAAACAGCTGTGAACAATTGAAAGGTTCGAGGAAAATAAGTGATTAAAATTAGAACATTAACCAAAGCATCTCTATCATTTCTCAGCAATCTTTTACATTGATTAATTTCCTGGGAAGTTCCAGGAAAGTAAGGATCCATTATGATTACTGCTACACTCTTGGGGAAACAAAGAACACCAAACACAACCGCAAAACAAGCAGGTCTAAGCATATACAGCTGCCAGATCACAGTCTGTCAGCTGGATGATAACATGATGTATTATTGCATCTGAAGGAAGGAGAATGTGTCTTAGTTGCCTTTGTATGCTGATACCCTTCATCAGGAGAAGGGTTTATCCTTAAAGTCAGTATGGGTCCTTTTAACACTTTTCCATCACGTAAAAAGTATTTGCAAATGTCATTATACTAATGCACTCTACTTTGGGTAACAGTCAAGTAGCCTCATCTGCAACTGTGACTGCCACGAGCTTTACAATATACAGTAACAGATTGTCTGAATGCTCTAAATATTAATCACGTATCCCACTCATCTGCCCTCCTGAGTGCATGAAGGGATTTGCATCCATCAAACGCTACAGGGTTACAGCAATCACTGACTCTACCCATACATCAGACTTGAAGAAAGTGAGCATATAGTTTTAAGAGTTATTTTGGGTTGGGGGAGGAGGGGGAGTAAACCGGTAACAAACTTACATTAATAGTGCCGACAGGAAAGGAGGAGGGAGGAAAGCAACGGGCTTACCTAGAAGGCTGCAGGAGAAGCTCAGAGGTGCCAGCCTTTGAGTTACCGCAGAAGCTGTTTATAAACAAGCAGAGAGCGAGCAGGCAGGAGATGCTCACGAAGACTAAAGGGCTCCCTTGTCCCCAGCCCCCCTCGAGCAAGCCTTGTCATTTTTCCAATCCCTTCGAGTACCGCAGGGGAAGGCACTGCAGGGAGCGGGCAGCACGGCGGTAGGCAAACGAGCGGAGGGGCGGGCATTACCTTGCGCCGAGCCAAGCCGAGCAGGGCGCACGATGCTGCGGGGCTGGCGAGGGCCGGGGGGCGCTGGGCAGAGGCCCCCGCCGCTGCCCGGCCCCGGTCCCGGCTCCCCCGGTCTCGGCTTGCCGTGGAGCTCGCGCTGCGAGGCTGCTTGGGTCACACAGCGCCGCTGTGAGACCCGCCGAGGCCGCCCCCCGAGAGACGCCGCTGCCCGGAGCGGAGCCGCCGCAGCGGGCTCGGGCTGCCAGCCCTTTGCCGAGCGCCCCTGGAAGAGGCGAATGACAGAAGAGGCTGGCTTCCTGAACCGCCTCAGAAAGAAGCCAGCTATTTTAAGGTGCGGAATTGTAGATGGAGCAAGACAAACTACAAACAAACTGGTCTGCTGCTCTGACTATTTTTCTGCAAATAACCTTCCTGCCATGTTTGCTGAAAGTCCTCCATCTATCTGCAGGGCACCACAGCAGAAAGGCTTGGGCGAAAACATGCTTAGATGGAAAGAACTGAGATGGTTCAAAAGCAACAGAGTTAAGGTTAAAATATTTACATCACGCAAAAAAAGTATTTACAAACGCATCACGTAAGAGAAAATGTGCATTGATTTCAATTTGGGTTTAAGACCATTATCAATGCTGAGACATTACAAGGAAATACCATTTCTCAGTGTAGCTTACAGCCTGCTGAAAATGTCACATTTGCTTCTGCTGAGTTCATTAATACATGATACATTTTAATAAATGCTTTAATTAGCTCACTGTGGAGATCTCAAGATGTGATATTATTTAACAGAAATTACCTACCTTTACTTGAAACACTGGGGATCTTCAGATTCCTATCACTTCAGGATACTTACAGCATCAAAAGGAACCCACTTGAAATCTCAGAGTTTTCTCCTTTCAACCTGAAATCTTCTGACCATCAACTGATTGCCTATAGCAAAATACTAGCTCATATTCTGCATACCAAGACATGTCTGCAGACTAGGGAAGAAAAAAAAAAAAAAAAAAAAAAACAACAACAACAAAAACTGATTGAAAGTAAGACTTTCCCTTCTACTGTTTAGTATTTTCAGGCTAAGATTAACAATTACTTTGTTAGTAACTTCCCTTTTGCAAGCATGTGGTCTGTATCAAGACAGAGTTCACAGAAAGCAACCAACATGAAACGATTATGTCAGGCTGCAATGTAGGGCACACAGAGCAAAACCTAATCTCTGAGAGGTTTCCACTTCATCTGCACTCATCTGCGTAATCAGCTTTTCATCTTGTCATAGGATAAATGCAACCTGCCTTCTGCTTCGTTTACCCTATATAGAACACCGGTATAGGTTTGTACGAAGCAAGCAGCAAGAGCTCATGTACAAATGTATTCAGAAAGGAACTTGAAATGATTACATTTTTAAAGGAACATTAAAGGTTGCAACTCATCTATTTGCTTTAGCATGTACTAATGTACTAATTAGAGTAGAAAGCTAATCACTTCATCTGGTATGCAAACTGAGCCTCCTTTAGATGAAACAATCCTGACTTTCAGCTACCTTTTAATTTCATAATCTGTGACTTTGTGGACAGTAAACAATGATAGCTGTTGTTTAAACCTTTTATAGGAGCTTTTGTAAACTGTAAAACTCCAGTGAGTAACCCAAGCTGTTGAGTAGACCTAGCAAGTACAATCTTCACTTGTTTTAGTCTCAGTTCAACTGAGAGACCAAGCTGAGTCTTGGAGACCTTCATGGAACAAGGCAATGAGCAGCAGCCTTCTACTGAAGCTGTTCCATTATTTGCAGCCATATCACCAGGAATCCTAGTTAGTCAGCAGATGAAACAACTGCATTTCAACAAAAAAAATGTTCTCTGAAGTAACATTTCAATTGGGAAAGTACTGATTAGCTGAGAAGACACCAGTAAATGTGAAAAATAGGTTGAAACCTTTTAGCAAAATCTAGCAGGGTATTACTGCTACAAAATGAAGGGGAAAAGGGGCAGTAAAAATGCGGTGGGAAATATAAAAAACAATTCTAACATATGAAACATTTTACAATTTATGAAAGTTTTGAATTTGTTTTCTTCAGTCTAAGTTTCAGAAGATTGTATGGATAGTGTCGTAGAGGTACATGAGGTACGAAGTTGAACTGTACAATGCAATTAGGGGAGTAGAAAAGGTATCACAGCCTGGTGCCAAAGCTGTTGCTACCAGTCTATTTGAACATGAAGAACTGAAATGCAGAAAGACTTCTTGTACATGTCATCTCCATTTTCTTTTTTTGTTTCCCCATAGGAAATTCCTGTCCCAGAACAGGTCTTATTTCTCTTAATGTATAACGGGGATGTAAGACTTCATGGTTTCAACTTAAAATTAATGCTTTCAATTCTCTACAAGTTCAGGCACATAATTCAACAATTCATTATCTACTCATATGTGCATGGCCAGTACCAAACCCAAAAGAATTATATTTTTTTCCATCTTGTTTAGATGCATGAATTGAACATGTTTAAGGCACAGTATTTGGGTGGTATTCTTTTAATATAGTACCAGTAAGTTTATTATATATGCCAAATACTGTGCATTCTTCAGTTCCCTCCCATGAAACCCTCCTTGTATTTTATTCTTTAATCTACACCATCCCATGTCTTGTAGTAGCACTTTGAGCATTTCGTGCTCATTTGATTCATCATTCCAGGAATTCCATGCACTACCTACTATATAGTTCATGACCCTTTGTCCCTCATGCCAACATTCTTCTCACATCAAAAACTCCACATAGAGATTCTGCTCAGTTATCCTGAGAAAAATTTGTGAAATTGTATGGAGCCCCTAACAGGATCAACTACAATTCTGGCATTCTTGATTAACAAAAAAATAAATAAATCATCTAGTAAGACACCATCTGTTTTGTTAGGTACCTTGGCACTATCAAAATAGTTACATGTACCATACAAGAATCCTAAGAACTGTGAAATGCTTTCATATCCCCACGAGGAAGGTAAGATTAAAATAAACAATATTTGATTTGTAGAACATGGATTACTCTGCATCTTGATACAAACACCAAAAGATCATTGTCCTATTTATGCTAGCAACATATATGCAAAGATACTGAAATGCATTTACAAAATGAACTAGATTGATTTTTTGAGCAGAGGTTGTATTTATTTTTTTTTTGTCTTTGCAACATGTCATATTGCTTTGTGTTTTTTTTTTTTTTTTAAGATAAGTTCTTGACCCACTAACAATTATAACAGAGTTATTATTTATATTAGCAATCAGTTTGTCATGCATTAATATCTAAGTTTTATCTAAATAAGAAAAACAGATCTACCCTTTCAAAATATATGGTCATAAGTAAGATAGCAAATCTAATTTTTCATTTCACACAAATAGTGAGCTTTGGCCAAAATTGCTTTCTGTCTGATTAATCAATATGGAGTGTAATAGAACAGCAGAGAAAAGTCTTTGTAATTTTCAAAATTTGGAAAATATAAGACTTCGCAGTATTGCCAACTCTTGCTATTAAGTGACCTGACTTTGAACAGGAGGGAAGCCAGTCTTATAACAAAAACAAAAATTACTGAGAGAAGGGTGAAAAATGACCTATCATCAGAAGACATGAGATGGTATCACTGAAAACGCAGAACATCTCTCTGAATTGACAACAACATATTTAAGTGACTAAAATATTGCAGGGGGGGTGGAGTTAGATGATCTTTATGTTCCCTTCCAACCTGAGCCATTCTACGATTGTTAATGGTAAGGATGTTAATAGGACCAGTTGTGTACGTTGATCCCTGAGGTATTCCCTGGCAAGCTAGATTTTTAATCAGTTTCAAGTAAAAGAAAGAAAATAAGGAAAATTCAACAATTATTTGAGAATAAAGGAATAATATTAAGAAAAAATCCCTTGGTTCACATAGTGTAATCTGAAAACGCATTCATGGAAATTATAAATATTCTCTAACAACAATAAATACAGAATATTAGTGTGTTCTAATTTTTAAAAAGGAGAAGTTTACTGTTTGCCTTATATATAATACTTAGAGATTCACATGGGGCTATTACAGCATCATATCTATAAGAAATCAGTAAGATTTGAATGATTCTATAGTAATGTAAACTATATACTCATATTGTGAGATGTGTATATTTATAGTATTAAAGACTTCTATGAAAGGTTAATAGGATCTTTAGATGCAGACATTTATTAGTTATACTGCCCTCAGAGTGGTCTTAAGGAAAAAAAAAAAAAAAAGAGGTCAGCAGGTCATATGCAGCAGAAATTCACCACCACTCCCACCTCTCTCACATCTTCTCTTTCTCTCTTCCAAATACACATACTATTTTACAGACACTAGTGAATCTAAAATCAAATGCCTAACATTGCAGGAATATTTCCTGAAGCAAAAATTGATTCAGTTTGCATAAAGATATTTTAAGTGTAAACAGAAAACATAATTACTGAATACTGAAAGGCTGCATTCAAAATAAGGGCTAAATGAAAAACAGTGCTGAGCACTGATGAAGACTCTTGGTATCCATACTACACTTCTTGCACAAAGCTACATATTGACAAAATCAGCTGTGAAACAGTTCAGACTTTTGTCTCTGATATGTCAGTGTAGTATTTTTCACATATATGCTAAAACTAACTTTTTTAAAAATCGGGAGAAAAATAGCTTACTCAACAGCTATCTTGTCTCTTATAAATGCTTACTTAGGGGGAAGAAAATAAGTAAAAAAAAAAACAACCAACCAAACAAAAAATCAATAAATCAGTGTTTCTGTTAATAAAAATCAGTAGCTGGTTCAGCATAATAAACAATAATATGGCAAAGAAATTGTATTCTTTCTATCAAATGCTCTAAATACATTTTAACCAAATGCATATTATGACCAGTAACAATTAAGCA